TCAGGGATGTGCTGAGAAGTCAAAGGGCTTAGAGCGGTGCTTGCCCATAGCAAACACATTGTAAACGCGAAGGATTCGCCGAAACCGGTGTGGCTCAATGGATAGAGCGTCAGCCTGCAGACTCAAAGGTCCCGGATTCGATTCCGGTCAAGGGCATGTACCTTGGTTGCGGGCACATCCCCGGTAGGGGGCGTGCAGGAGGCAGCTGATTGATGATTCTCTCTCATTGATATTTTTAACTCTCTCCCTTCCTCTCTGTAAAAAAAAAATCAATAATATATATATATTTTAAAAATATTTTATTGATTTTTAACAGAGAGAAAGGGAGAGAGATAGAGAGCTAGAAACGTCGATGAGAGAGAAACATCGTCCAGCTGCCTCTTGTACAACCCCTACCAGGGATGTGCCCGCAACCAAGGTACATGCCCTTGACCGGAATCGAACCCAGGACCTTTCAGTCCGCAAACCGATGCTCTATCCACTGAGCCAAACCGGCTTCGGCAAAATATATATTTTTTTAAATGTAAGGGATTCACTCAAGAAACACTTACTGAGCCCCTCCCTCCGGTGGCCGCGCCGGGCTGGGCGGGGACACAGCGGTGAGCCCAGGGGGAATCCCTCCTCCCCGGCTCCTGTGCTGTGGGGAGACAGTCCCCGTAAGGGGAGGAAGGCGGGACAGGCAGAGTGGTGGCCTGGAGGGAAACAGCAGCCACGGGGCCAGATGGTGGCCCAGCAGTAAGTTGAGAGATGAGGGAGGGCTTCTCGGGGGAGGGGGGGCATCTGAGCAGGGGCCTGGAGGAGGGGCGGGAGCAGCCATCCCTTCCAGGGGGCGGGAGCAGCACGTGCAAAGGCCCTGGGGTCGGAGGGCTGCCGCTGTGCCGGAGGAACAGCCAGGAGGCCGGAGTGGCTGGCGGGGAGAGAGAAGAGGGACAGGGGGGGGGGAGGGGAGGGCGGGGGGGGGGGCAGCGGGTTCTGGGGGGCCCTGTGGGCCACCGTTTGGGCTTCTGCTCTGAGTGTGAGGAGCCGGGGAGAGGAGTGAGCAGAGGAGTTTGTGAACTCACTTAAGACTCTTTTTATTTTAATTTTTTCCATCCTCACCCGAGGATATGTTTTTAGCGATTTTAGAGAGAAAGGGGCGGAGGAAGAGAGAGAGAGAGAGAGAGAGAGAGAGAGAGAGAGAGAGAGAGAGAGAGAGAGACTGATGTGAGAAACATCTACCCGTTGCCTCTGATCAACTGGGGATCAATCTGCAAACCCGGGGTGTGCCCTGACCAGGTTCCCGCAGCCTTTGGCTCATGGGGTGCCGCTCCAACCAGTGAGCCACCCGGCCAGGGTTGCTCAAGTCTCTTTTTTAAATTTTTAATATCTTTTACTGATTTTTACAGGGAGGAAGGGAGAGGGTTAGAGAGTTAGAAACATCGATGAGAGAGAGACATCGACCAGCTGCCTCCTGCACACCCCACTGGGGATGTGCCCACAACCGAGGTCCATGCCCTTGACCGGAATCGAACCCGGGACCCTTCAGTCCGCAGGCCGACGCTCTATCCACTGAGCCACACCGGTCAGGTTTGCTCAAACCTTTTAATCGCCGTTATTGCCGCCGCCGCTGCTGCTGCTGTTCTTTTCATTCCGAGCTAGGAAGGTGCAGGGCCCGGCCGGTGTGGCTCGGCGGTCCAGTGTGACCAGGGGGCCTCCCTCCCGGCAGGAGGCAGCCCCCCAGGATCCTCTCCCGCCACTGATGCTCCTCTCCCCTCTCCCTTCCTCTCCGCGATCAGGAAAAACATGTGTCTCTGAAAGTTGGGCTGAGATCAGGGAGCGGCCCGGAGCCCGCGGGGGGGGGGGGGGGGGGGGAGGTAGAGTTTGAACCTGAACTTGAACTTGAACTTGAACGGGAATGAAAACACCTCTTGCAGGCGCCTCCCGCTGCCCGCCAGGGGGCGCCAGAGGCCGGGCGCGGCTTTGGGGAGGGGGGGGCCCTCGTCCCGCCCCCGCCCTCCCGCCCCTCCTCCTGGCCGCGGCCCCACCCGGCTCAGACGCTCCGGACCGACCGCGAGCTCAGCCGCTGCGCGGGCGCCTCCGACCGGGACCCCCGCCCCAGCCCGGCCCGGCCGCCGCGCCCCTCGGTGAGTGCCCCCCACTCCCAGCCCCGAGCGAGCCCGCCGGCTCCCCATGAGCCCCTGCTCCCCCGAGACCCTCAGTCCCCGCCTGCAGAGGGCACGGGCCCCCGCGGCCCCAGGCCCCCCGACACCGGCCCCTCCACGCCCCAGCGCCCCCAGTCTGTACCAGTGCCCCCCACTCTGGCCCAGTCCCCCCGCCGCTCCCCGTCCCCACCAGCCGCTCTCAGTCCCCCTCCCAGTCCTCTCAGAGGGGAGATCCCGTCTCTCCGGGGCTCCCTCCCCGCCCTCCTCCTTCTGGGTGCTGCCTGGCCCTCCTGGCACCCCAAAGTTCCTCTCCCTCCTCACCTACCCCACCCAGCACCCTTCCAGCCACGTCCCCCGCCCCACCCTCCCGGGCCCCCTCCCTCCGCCCACAGCCCGGCTCCGGCCTCTCCGTCACCTCTCCTCCCCGACTTCTCCTTAAAAAAGAAAAGTCGTTATGAGTTGATGGGCTGTTAAACATACTTGATTTGCGGTTATTTTTTTTTTTTTTTAATGTGTGTTGCTTCTCAGTGAGAAGAAGGGGTGGGGGGAGAGGGAGGGAGAGACACGTCGATGAGAGAGAAACATGCATTGGTTGCCTCCTGCACACGCCCCACGGGGGATCAAGCTTGACGGGGATTCGAACTGGCAACCTCACGGTGCCTGGGAGGATGCTCTGTCCACGGAGCCGCGCCGCGCCGGGCTGATCTGCAATTATTGCTGATGCTCGAACTGTCCAGTCTTTAGGGGAGTCCCTTCGGGCCGGGGCCTGTGTCCCCGTCCGTCCGCCTCTGAGCACCGCCCCACCGTCTGTCTCATCCAGGCTCCCTTCTTGCCCTGCTCCGGCCCCAGCTTCAGCCGCCCCTGCTTTCCTCCGGAGGGAGATGATATTTAAAGTAGGGTGACCAGATTCCAAAAATCGGGACTTTTTTTTAAAACGCCGCGGGACATGGGACAAATGGTTAAACATCGGGACTGTCCCGCCAAAAGCGGGACGTCTGGTCACCTTACTTTAGAGGCTGCGACGTGACGGAAAGCTGGCTGTGAGCAAGGATCAGTAACGTTCCAAGCACCTACTCTGACTGACCAGGGAGCGGGGCGGAGGCAGAGACACAGATGGCTGAGACGGGAAGGAACGCAGGGACATCACTACAGATCCCGCAGAGAGCGGGGGGGGCGGGAGGGGCGTGTAGAGAACACAGCCTGGGGGCAGGGGCTGCTCGTTGCTGCTGGGTTGGAAGTTATTTCTCTTCCTAATTTTTTTATTTTTTAAAAAATATATTTTCCTGATGTTTTGCAGAGAGGAAGGGAGAGGGAGAGAGAGCTAGGAACATCGATGGGAGAGAAACATCAATCAGCCGCCTCCTGCACACCCCCCACTGGGAATGTGCCCGCAACCCAGGTCCATGCCCTTGACCGGAATCGAACCTGGGACCCTTCAGTCCGCAGGCCGACGCTCTATCCACTGAGCCACACCGGTTTCGGCTCTCTTCCTCATGTTTTAGACCTGTGATGAGAGTGCAGGCTCTGAGGTCTGGTTGCCTGGAGTCGCAGCTTGGGCACCTTCCAGCTTATTCGGCGAGTTACTGCTATCGTTGTAAGCTTCTACTCCCCCGTCGGAAAAGTGAGGATAATAACAGGCCGACCCGACCCAGTGTTAGGAAGCTGAGGGTGGAGCAGCACCTGGCATGCAGGGGTCATTCATGTTGGGCTGTTCTTCCGAAGGCCCAAGGCCCCTCACGACCTGGGCACACCTGGGCGACAGCTCAGCTTTCTCTCCTCCTCCTCCTCCTCCTCCTCCTCCTCCTTCTCCTCCTCCTCTGGCCCCTGGGTCCAGCCAGCCACCCGGTTTGCGCATGTCACAGCTTTGGGCCTCTTCTCACACCACCCTCTCTGCCTTGAGGCCCCTGACAGGCCCACTCTGCAGGGCGCAGCTCAACAGTCAACCCAGCCCTGGCCGGTTTGGCTCAGTAGATAGAGCGTCGGCCTGTGGACTGAGGGGTCCCAGGTTCCATTCTGGTCAAGAGCATGTGCCTTGGTTGTGGACACATCCCCAGTAGGGGGTGTGCAGGAGGCAGCTGGTGGATGTTTCTCTCTCATCGATGTTTCTAACTCTCTCCCTCTCCCTTCCTCTTTATAAAAAAATCAATAAAATATATATTTTTTTAAAAAAACAAAAAGTGCCGAAACGGGTTTGGCTCAATGGATAGAGCGTCGGCCTGTGGACTAAAAGGTCCCGGGTTCGATCCGGTCAAGGGCATGTGCCTTGGTTGCGGGCACATCCCCAGTGGGGGGTGTGCAAGAGGCAGCTGGTCGATGATTCTCTCTCATCGATGTTTCTAACTCTATCCCTCTCTCTTCCTCTCTGTGAAAAACCAATAAAATATATATATATATTTTTAAAAAGAACCTTCTTTAAAAAAACAAAACAAAAAAACAAACAAAAAAACCCAACCAAAGAGCCTGAAGGAATCCATTTCCTCTGGGCGGCCTCTGCACCCTCCCCTTCCCCTTCCTGGGTCTCCACACCAACCCCCCTTCCCCGTCACCCCGCCGTCAGAACGGAACCACCCCCTTCATTCTCCAGCCATCACCTCCCCATGCACCCTCCGTGCTCGCCGCTCCTCCCTCCGCCCGTTCCCCCCCCCCTCCCCTTCCCGGTCCACCTCTCAGCTCCCTTCCTTCCCCTCCTCCACCAGGCAGTCCTCCATCCACCCCCTTCTCCTTCTCCTGCAGGCAGCCCTCCGCCCCTGCGCATCGCCCTCGGCCCGGCGAGCCCAGTGGTTAGCGCTCGGCCCGGCGAGCCCAGTGGTTAGCGCTCAGCGGGTGGCGAGCGAGCGAGCGAGCGAGCGAGCGGCCGCCATGTTCAGCTGGCTGAAGCGCGGCGGGGCGCGGGGGCAGCGGCCCGAGGCCATCTGCACGGTGACCTCGGCGCTGAAGGAGCTGTACCGCACCAAGCTGCTGCCGCTGGAGCAGCACTACCGCTTCGGCGACTTCCACTCGCCGGCCCTGGAGGACGCCGACTTCGACAGCAAGCCCATGGTGCTGGTGGCCGGCCAGTACAGCACGGGCAAGACCAGCTTCATCCAGTACCTGCTGGAGCAGGAGGTGCCCGGCTCGCGCGTGGGGCCCGAGCCCACCACCGACTGCTTCGTGGCCGTCATGCACGGCGACACCGAGGGCATTGTGCCCGGCAACGCCCTCATCGTGGACCCTGAGAAGCCCTTCCGCAAGCTCAACCCCTTCGGGAACACCTTCCTCAACAGGTGCGCCCCGCGGGGGGCCTCTCCCGGCCCCGGGGGGGGGGGCCCCCTCCGTCCCCTCCCCCCGCCTGGGTGTCTCCCCGGTGCAGCCCCAACGCCTTTCTCGCTCCCTGGACCCTCCCAGGCCGGCTCAGCTTTTCGCCAGGGGAGCCGGCCTGCCCTCCTGCTGGGCGGCCTTGGGCCAGCAGCTTGACCTCTCTGGGCCTCCCTTACCCTCATCCGGCAAATGGGGATCACCGGCCGAAACCGGTGTGGCTCAGTGGAGAGAGCGTCGGCCTGCGGACTGAGAGGTCCCAGGTTCGATTCCGGTCAAGGGCGTGTGCCTCGGTTGCGGGCACATCCCCAGTTGGGGAGGGAGGGTGCAGGAGGCAGCTGGTCGATGTCTCTCTCTCATCGATGTCTCTAGCTCTCTGTCCCTCTCCCTTCCTCTCTGTGAAAAATCAATAAAATACTTTTTTTTAAATAAAAAAAAAAAATGGGGATCACCGCAGGCCCCACGCCACAGGATTGATGGAGTTACGATCATGAAGGTGCCGAGAGCAGCTCCCGGCACAAAGAACGTGCTCAGGACACGCCAGCGCTGATGTTTTAAAACTAGTTTTTATTCTCTGTCCCATCTCCCTCTTCGCTTTACGCCTTCCCTTCCCTGAACCCGATGTGAGCCCGGGGCAGCCCTGGCTGCCCGCCTGTGTGTCCTCTCCTCCTGCCGCTCCCTGCGCTCACCCTGTCCCTCCTCCCGCCAGGTTCATGTGCGCCCACCTCCCCAACCAGGTCCTGGAGAGCATCAGCATCATCGACACCCCGGGCATCCTGTCGGGTGCCAAGCAGAGGGTGAGCCGCGGTGAGTGAGGCTGGGTCCCCGGGTCCGAGGGAGGAGGGGCTGGGGCCTGGACCCCTGGGTCTGAGGGAGGAGGGGCTGGGGGCCTGGACCCCTGGGTCAGAGGAAGGAGGTGCTGGGACCTGGGTCTGAGGGAGGAGGGGCTGGGGGCCTGGACTCCTGAGTCTGAGGGAGGAGGGCAGGGGGCCTGGACCCCTAGGTCAGAGGGAGGAGGGGCTGGGGACTGGACCCCTGGGTCTGAGGGAGGAGGGTCGGGGGCCTGGACTCCTGAGTCTGAGGGAGGAGGGGCTGGGGCCTGGACCCCTGGGTCTGAGGGAGGAGGGGCTGGGGGCCTGGACCCCTGGGTCTGAGGGAGGAGGGGCTGGGGGCCTGGACCCCTGGGTCTGAGGGAGGAGGGGCTGGGGCCTGGACCCCTGGGTCTGAGGGAGGAGGGTCGGGGGCCTGGACCCCTGGGTCTGAGGGAGGAGGGTTGGGGGCCTGGACTCCTGAGTCTGAGGGAGGAGGGGCTGGGGCCTGGACCCCTGGGTCTGAGGGAGGAGGGTCGGGGGCCTGGACCCCTGGGTCTGAGGGAGGAGGGCTGGGGGCCTGGGTCTGAGGGAGGAGGGGCTGGGCCTGGACTCCTGGGTCTGAGGGAGGAGGGCTGGGGGCCTGGGTCTGAGGGAGGAGGGGCTGGGCCTGGACTCCTGGGTCTGAGGGAGGAGGGGCTGGGGGCCTGGACCCCTGGGTCTGAGGGAGGAGGGGCTGGGGGCCTGGACCCCTGGGTCTGAGGGAGGAGGGGCTGGGGCCTGGACCCCTGGGTCAGAGGGAGGAGGGGCTGGGACCTGGACCCCTGGGTCTGAGGGAGGAGGGGCTGGGGGCCTGGACCCCTGGGTCAGAGGAAGGAGGGGCTGGGGACCTGGGTCTGAGGGAGGAGGGGCTGGGGGCCCGGACCCCTGGGTCTGAGGGAGGAGGGGCTGGGGGCCTGGGTCTGAGGGAGGAGGGGCTGGGGGCCCGGACCCCTGGGTCTGAGGGAGGAGGGGCTGGGGGCCTGGACCCCTGGGTCTGAGAGAGGAGGAGCTGGGGGCCTGGACCCCTGGGTCTGAGAGAGGAGGGGCTGGGGGCCTGGACGCCTGGGTCTGAGGGAGGAGGGCTGGGCCTGGACTCCTGGGTCTGAGGGAGGAGGGGCTGGGGGCCTGGACCCCTGGGTCTGAGGGAGGAGGGGCTGGGGGCCTGGACCCCTGGGTCTGAGGGAGGAGGGGCTGGGGCCTGGACCCCTGGGTCTGAGGGAGGAGGGCTGGGGGCCTGGGTCTGAGGGAGGAGGGGCTGGGCCTGGACTCCTGGGTCTGAGGGAGGAGGGGCTGGGGGCCTGGACCCCTGGGTCTGAGGGAGGAGGGGCTGGGGGCCTGGACCCCTGGGTCTGAGGGAGGAGGGGCTGGGGCCTGGACCCCTGGGTCTGAGGGAGGAGGGCTGGGGACCTGGGTCTGAGGGAGGAGGGCTGGGGCCTGGACCCCTGGGTCTGAGGGAGGAGGGCTGGGGCCTGGGTCTGAGGGAGGAGCGGGCTGACTATGCGGACGCCCAGGTCGGAGGGAGGAGGCTGGTCCCTGCTGGGACTTGCCGGGTGTCGCTGCCCGGAATGGAAGGAGCTGGGAGAGAGGCGGGAGTCTCCCGCGCTGGCACACGTTGCGGTGGGGGAGGCGGTGGGGGAACACGTGTGAACAGGCCGCTGCTGCACGTCTGGGCCCGGAGGACCGAGAGGCAGAGACAGAGAGGGGTGCAGAGGGGAGGCAGGGAGGCAGCAGGAGGCAGCCGGAGGCTCCCGGAGCCGCGGGCCCTGGGAGCGCCTGGCCGGCCGGCCGGGCCGCCGATGGGTGGGAAGGGCCTGGGAGGGACCTGGGCGAAGGGCTGGGAGGGACCTGGGCGCGGGCCAGGGCGGCCTGGAATCTATAAACAGCTGCGCAGGGGGAGCGGGGGGCGGGGGGCGGATTCCAGCGGGGCCCTCGGGGGGAGCCCGCCCCACTGCTGCCCCGAGGAGCGCTCTGCACTGCGCCCGCACCCCGCACCCTCGCCCCAGCCCCGCACCCCGCACTCCCGCCCCCGCCCCGCACCCCGCACCCCGCCCCAGCCCAGCCCGGAGGCCGGGAACTGGGGCAAAGGAGGCGGCCTGTGGGCCAGAGGGGACCCGGAGGCGGCGCGGGGCGGGGAGGGTACGGGCCCGGGCGGCGGCCCAGCGGGCGTCCCCGGGGAGAAGGCGGCGCAGCTGCGGAGCGATCGGAGGGCGCGCCGCCAGCCCCGGGGCGGGGTCCCCGGGAGGATGGAGCCTAGCGGGTCTGCAACCAGAGCTGGGGTGCCAGGGGGGCCCAAGGCCATGTGCGGGGAGGGAGGAGAGGCAGGGTCCCTTCCCTGGCGGGGGGCGGAGCGGGGGTGCGGGGCGTGTGCCCACGCCTGGCTGACGCTGGGTGCCCCGGAGGGCTGGGGGGGGGGGGCTGTGGGGGGCTGCGGGGACCGTGTGTGGGGGTCTCTGTGCACAGTGTGAGCTGGGGCGTGCAAGGGAGAGTGTGTGCGGGGTGTGTGGGACTGTGTGTGTGTCCGCGCTGGGGCCTGCGTGTCTGGGCGGTGGCGGGGCTGTGTGACCTCGGATGGCTGTGTGGGTCCCAGGTTTGTGGGCAAGAGTGTGTCTGGGCGTCTGCACCTTGGTGGGTGTGACCGGTGCGTGCTGGGTGGGCACCTGTGTGTGAGCACACGTGTGTGAGTGCATGCAATATCTGTGAGAGTGTGTGTGAATGTGTGTGATTATAGTGTAATGGAGCCCTCTGGCTGGGTTCAAATCTGGACTCCGCTATTAAAAAAAAAAACCTGTGGGACCTTGGCAAGCTACGTAACCTCCCCGGGCCTCAGTTTCCTCATCTGTGAAATGGGAATAGTAATAGTGATCAGCCTCTTAGGTGCACCGAGGGTTAAAATGGAATGTCAGAATGTGCAGAGTGCCCAGAATGTGCAGCAGGTTTCGGGTTTGATGCCCAGTTGGGGTGCATACCGGAGACAATTGATCAATGATTCTCTCTCACATCCATGTTTCTGTCTCTCTCTCCCTCTTCCCTTCCTCTCTCTCTAAAATCAATAAAAATATGTTTGCCCTGAGAAAACCGGTTTGGCTCAGTGGATAGAGTGTCAGCCTGTGGACTGAAGGGTCCCGGGTTCGGTTCCGGTCAAGGGCATGTACCTTGGTTGTGGGCACATCCCCAGTGGGGGGTGTGCAGGAGGCAGCTGGTCGATGTTTCTCCCTCATCGATGTTTCTAGCTCTCTATTCCCCTCCCTTCCTCTCTGTAAAAGAGTCAATAAAATATATTAAAAAAATATGTTTTGAAAGCACTGTGCGGAGCTCCGGAAGCAGTGTGTGGCGCACAGTAGGTGCCACGGGAGAGCTAGTGTGACTGCTTTTCCCGGTGAGCGCGCAGGCGCCCGGCCTGCCCCTGCCACGTCTCCGCTCCCACGGTGACTCAATCTCCCTCCCGCCTCCCCTCCCGTGAGCCACACTTTCCAGATCCGGGCTGTATGTGTGTGTGTGTGTGTGTGTGTGTGTGTGTGTGTGTAGGGACGGGAGGGAGGGGGCCCCAGCTGCCGTCCCCCTGGTGACCCGGCCCTTCCTCCCCCCAAACAATGTCCCCCACCCGCCCCTCTCCCTCAGGCCCAGCTGCCGCAGGAGCAGCTTCCTCCGCGGAGGCTGTGCCCGGCCCCAGCTCCCCAGCTGGGCCCGGCGGCCCCGGACAGTCCTCCGGGCCTCCTCTCGGGGTGTTTGAGGCAATTTCTTCTCTCTGTGCCTCCTTGTTCTCCTCTGGAAATGGGGGCATACACGTGCGGGTCTTCCTGGGGAGGCGTGGAGGTTCAGTGGGTTAGGGAGCAGAGCCTGGAGTGGCCTCGGGGCGTCAGCTGTGGCTCCCTGTTCTGCCGGTTAACGCCCGTCTCCCAGGGGCCACTCCGCAGTCCCTCCTCTGAGGCGCCCTCCCGGACGCCCCAGGGGGGCTCAGGCACCCCCTCGGGACTCCCCCACCCGGCCTGACCACCACGGGGACAGGTCTGTGTCCCAGTGGACCGTGAGCCCGGGAAGGGCGGGACTGGGCTGCCTGGGCAAGCCGTGTCCCCGCACAGAGCAGGCCTGAGTGACTCATCTCATGCACTCAGCGCTGTTGTAGGGCTTTGTTTGTTTATTTATTTTATTTTTAAAATTAATTTCAGAGAGGAAGGGAGAAAGAGAGAGAGAGAGAGAGAGAGAGAGAGAGAGAGAGAGAGAGAGGGAAATATCACTGAGGAGAGAGAATCCTTGATCAGCTGCCTCCTGCACGCCCCCTACTGGGGATGGAGCCCACAACCTGGGCATGTGCCCTTGACTGGAATCGAATCCAGGATCCTTCAGTCCCCAGGCGGATGCTCTATCCACTGAGCCAAACCAGCTAGACCAGTGGTCGGCAAACTCATTAGTCAACAGAGCCAAATAGTAACAGTACAATGACTGAGATTTCTTTTGAGAGCCAACTTTTTAAAACTTATACTTCTTCTGATGCCCCATCTTCAACACAGACTCGCCCAGGCCGTGGTGGAAGGGCCACACTCAAGGGGCCAAAGAGCCGCATGTGGCTCTCGAGCCGCGGTTTGCCGACCATGGAGCTAGGGCAACACTGCAGTATTTTAACAACCTGTACACCCGAACCGAGGCATACCACTGGCATCTGCTGAATGAATGAATGAGGCATGAATGAATGAATGAATGAATGAATGAAAAGGGAAGGGCTGATGGCCCCTGCACCTAGATGGCTTGAGGGACTGGGGCCAGAGTGATGGGGCTGCGGGAAGCAGGGGCAGTGGGTGCTCTGAGGTCTTTGGCTATTTCACACAGACAGCGGTTCTTTTTATTTATTTATTTGAATATATTTTATTGATTTTTCACAGAGAGGAAGAGAGAGGGATAGAGAGTTAGGAACATCGATGAGAGAGAATCATCTCATCCATCAGCTACCTCTTGCACCACTCCCTACTGGGGATGTGCCTGCAACCAAGGTACATGCCCTTGACTGGAATCGAACCCGGGACCCTTCAGTCCGCAGGCAGAAGCTAGATCCACTGAGCTACACCGGTCTTGGCTCTTTTTTATTTATTTATTATTATTATTTTTTTAAAGTAGGCCTACAGCTGAAACCGGTTTGGCTCAGTGGATAGAGCGCCAGCCTGAGGACTAAAGGGTCCCAGGTTCGATTCCGGTCAAGGGCATGTACCTTGGATGTGGGCACATCCCCAGTAGGGGGCATGCAAGAGGCAACTGATCGATGACTCTCTCTCATCAATGTTTCTAACTCTCTTTCTCCCTTCCTCTCTGTAAAAAATCAATAAAATATATTTTAAAAAAATAAAGTAGGCCAACAGTTCATATATATATATATATATATATATATATATATATATATATAAAATTGATTTTATACAGAGAGGAAGGGAGAGGGATAGAAAGCCAGAAACATCAACCAGCTGCCTCCAGCACACCCCCTACCGGTCATGTGCCCGCAACCAAGGCACATGCCCTTGACCGGAATCGAACCCCGGGACCCTTCAGTCCGCAGGCCGACGCTCTATCCACTGAGCCACACCGGTTTCGGCTAGACAGCGGTTCTGATGATCAGCGCAAAGGGCTGGGGCCTCCTCGGATGGCTGGGGGGTGGGGTGGGTGTGGGTGCTGACCTTTGCCCCCTCTCCCTCCCCCCCCCGCCCCCAGGCTATGACTTCCCCGCGGTGCTGCGCTGGTTCGCGGAGCGCGTGGACCTCATCATCCTGCTGTTCGACGCGCACAAGCTGGAGATCTCGGACGAGTTCTCCGAGGCCATCGGCGCGCTGCGCGGCCACGAGGACAAGATCCGGGTGGTGCTCAACAAGGCGGACATGGTGGAGACGCAGCAGCTGATGCGCGTGTACGGCGCGCTCATGTGGGCGCTGGGCAAGGTGGTGGGCACGCCCGAGGTGCTGCGCGTCTACATCGGCTCCTTCTGGGCGCAGCCGCTGCTCGTGCCCGACAACCGGCGCCTGTTCGAGCTGGAGGAGCAGGACCTGTTCCGCGACATCCAGGGCCTGCCGCGCCACGCCGCGCTGCGCAAGCTCAACGACATGGTGAAGCGGGCGAGGCTGGTGCGGGTGAGCGCCCGGGGGCGCAGGGAGGGAAGGGGGGCCGGGGGGGGGGTTTGGGGGAGGAGTAGGGGCGCCTCCAGCCTGTCCCCTGACCCCCTCTTGGCTGCCAGTCTGCACTGATCAGCTCTCTGATCAGCTGTGCCACCTAAGAGAGTTCGCAGGCTGGGCCTCCTGGGAGCTGGTGGGAGCTGGGTCGCGTGGAGAATTGTTCCTCTCCCTTTGCGCGCCTGTCTCTGTCTCTTTCCCTTTTTAAATATATGTTATTGATTTTTTTTTAATATAGGGAGGAAGAGAAAGGGATAGAGAGTTAGAAACATCGATGAGAGAGAGACATCCATCAGCTGCCTCTTGCACGCCCCCCACTGGGGATGTGCCCGCAACCCAGGTACATGCCCTTGACCGGAATCGAACCCGGGACCTTTCAGGCCTCAGGCTGATGCTCTACCCACTGAGCCACACCGGTCAGAGCTGCCCTCCCTTTTTATGAAAATAACAGCCCCCTAATCTCTCTCTCCCCCCCGCCCTGCCCTGCAAGTCCTGCTTTATCCCTCTGGCAGTTTTCTTCATGGGTCTCACTGCCTGGTCCTCAGTGACCCAGTCAGGGGCTCTGTGTTTCCTGCTGCCTCCGCCGCGCACATGTAAGTGCCACAGAAGCAGGGCCCTTTCTCCGAACTGGTTCCCTGCTGCACCCCCAGCGCCAGGAGCAGAGCTGGTGCTCAGCAACATCTACACCGAGCGGCCAGGTTATTATGATCTCTGAACGCATATAATCTGGCCACTCAGTGCATAGAGATGATATAGATGTAGATGTAGATGTAGATGTAGATGTAGATGTAGGTATAGGTATAGGTGTAGATGTAGATATAGATATAGATATAGATATAGATATAGATATAGATATAGATATAGATATAGATATAAGAGCCCTGGTGCATGAATTTGTATATGGGTAGGATCCAGCCAGCCTGGCCAAAGCGGGGGACATGGGTGGTTGGCCGGTCTGCCTGCTGGTCGAACTCCTGGTCAAGGGGACAATTTGCATATTAGCCTTTTATTTTATTATATTTTTTAAATATAGTTATTGATTTTTTACAGAGAGGAAGGGAGAGAGATAGAGAGCTAGAAACATCAATGAGAGAGAGTCATCAACCAGCTGCCTCTTGCATACCCCCTACTGGGGATGTGCCCACAACCAAGGTACATGCCCCTGACCGGAATCCAACCCGGGACCCTTCAGTCCGCAGGCTGACACTTTATCCGCAGAGCCAAACCGGTTTCGGCTATTAGCCTTTTATTATATAGGACACACACTGAGTGGTCACATGATTATGCATTCAGAGATCATAATCATCTGGCCACTCAATGTATTGACCGAATGACGTTGAACAAACGCATTTAACGAAATCTCCTCTGTGCCTGGCCCTGCGCCTGCCAGGTGGTGCAGGGCAGTCCCACCCCCAGACCGTGAAGACCCAGCATGGTCAGGGCTGGGGCTGGGGAGCCCGGGGGAACCCTGGAAGGCTTCCTGGAGGAGGGGGCACCCGAGCTGCAGACTGGAGGCTGAGGACCAGGCGGGGAAGGGGTTTAGACCGTGGGAGCGGCGGGCACCTGGGCTGGGGAGGAGCACATGGCGAGCTCGGGGATGAGGGAAAATGTCTGTTGAGCCCGGGACGAGCGGTACTGACTCTGAGGCTGGGCGGTGTGGGAGTCGGAGCACCCAGGGCTTGGCCAGGAATGTGTGCTTTGCCCCAAGACCCTTGGGAGCCACGGAGGGTGCAGTCTTAGGGAGGGACAGGGTCCCACCAGCTGCCTTCAGCGGGGTGGATTCTGGGCGGTGAGACCGGGCACAGACCAGGCTGGGTGTGAGGAGCTGGGAGGAGCCTGGATCAGGACAGGGCTATGGGGGGGGTGAGGTGTGGAGAGGAGGGAGAGCACTGGTTTCTGGGTGATTTTGGAAGCCAAATGGAACATTTGTGGGGGCGGCTGCCAGGATGGAGGTGGAGCAGGAAGCTGGGCAAGCAGGGAGGCCGGGAGGTGAGGGAGCCAGAGCTTAAGGAGCAGCCCGGAGCGGGTGAGTCAGAACCCGCACCCCGCACCCCCACCCCCACCCCAGGAATCCTCTTTGGGAGGGCGGGGCACGGTGTGGACTGGAGCCTCAGGACTCACCTTTCTTCCCTGCTCTGCCCAGCTCTGGACTCTCCCTCTTTCCCTGTATCCACTTCTACCTCTTCCTCAGCCTCTCCCGTGGTCTTTCTCTTCCTCCCTCCTTCCCTCATTCTTTCTCCCTTTCTCTCCCTCTTGCCCAGCGTCTCTCATTCATCCTCCTCTTTCCCTCTTTCCTCATCTCTTTATCTCTTTATACTTCTTATTGGTTTCAGAGAGGACGGAAGAGGGAGAGAGAGATAGAAACATCAATGCTAAGAGAGAATCATTGATTGGCTGCCTCCTGCACACCCCACACTGGGGATCAAGCTGGCAGCCTGGGCCTGTGCCCTGACGGAAATCGAACCCTGACCTCCTGGTTCATAGATTGACACTCAACCACTGAGCCACGTTGGCTGGGCTCCCCTCTCTTATTATCACTCCCTCCTTCGGTCTCTCGCCTCTTCCTCCTTATTCTATATCTATCTATCTATCTATCTATCTATCTATCTATCTATCTATCTATCTATCTATCTATCTATCTATCTATAATCTATCTATATCTATCTATCTATCTATCTATCTATCTATCTATCTATCTATCTATCTATTCCCTCTCTCCCTCTCTCTCTCTCTCTCTCTCTCTCTCTCTCTCTCTCTCTCCCCCTTCATCTGCTCCCTCCTTCTCTGTCTTCCTCCCAGTCTCAGTCTCTCTGGAGCTCCCAGGCCCCCTCAGGGAGGCAGAGCCGCAGGAGCCGGAGCCCAGGCCGCGGGACGGAGGGACAGGGCCGGGCCGGCCACCTGGAGCCCCGCCGGACAGGAGGCGGCTCCGGAAACCGGGACAAACCCCGGAGTCCGGGCCCCGCGCGCCGGCCCACCCCGCCCGCCCACCTTATCTCTTCCTGGCACCTTCCCCCGCTTCCTCTCTGGAAAAGCCATCAGCTCCCACCGCCTCCCGGCCGGTCCCCCTGGAGCCGCCCAGGCCCCGCCCCCGCCTCGCCCCCGCGCCCCATTGGCCCCGCGCCACAGGTCCCGCCCACTCAGAGCCACACCCCTGCCCCGATTGGCCCCTGTCCCTAGGGACACCTCCTCCTCCTGCGCATCCATCCATCCTGGCCCCCAGGGCTGCCCCAGGCCCAGGGTCCCCGTGACCAAGGTCCCCTGCTCACGCCCCGCGTGGGATTCTGCGCGGTCAGTCCCATCATCAAGCATGCTACCCTGCAGGGTGGCTCCAAGGGTGAGAGTTTCACCCTGGTGCACCTAGGGTGCGGTGCCACCTCCGGTCAGGACACAGACCTGCATCAGCCAATGAGTGCATGAATCCATCTCTCTCTAAACAGCAAATAGATCTCTCTCTCTCCCTTCCTCTCTCTCTCCGAAATCAACCAAATCAGCCCTAAACCGGTGTGACTCAGTGGATAGAGCGTCAGCCTGCGGACTGAGGGGTCCCAGGTTCGATTCCGGTCATGGGCATGTACCTTGGTAAGCGAGCACATCCCCAGTGGGGGGTGTGCAGGAGGCAGCTGATCGATGTCTCTCTCTCATCCATGTTTCTAGCTCTCTATCTCTCTCCCTTCCTCTCCATAAAAAATCAATAGAATATATATATATATATTTAAAAAATCAATCAAATAAAATAAAATGCTCTCATTCTAGCCCGTGTGGCTCAGTGGATAGAGCATTGGCCTGGGGACCGAAGGGTCCCGGGTTCAATTTCGGCCAAGGGGACATACCTGGGTTGCAGGCTTCTCCCTGGCTGGGGCCCTGGTGGGGTACGTGCAGGAGGCAACCAACCGATGTGTTTCTCTCACTGGATGTTTCCCTCCGTCTTTCCCTCTCTCTGAAGATCAAGGGGAAAATATCCTCGGGTGCGGATTTTAAAAAAAAGTTCTCCCCCAAGGGCACAGAGCCCTCTGGACTCTTTGGCAGCCCCCCGCCTCCAGGGTAGGGTGTGGTGAGTCCTCGGCTCTGCCCTTCCCGAGGGGGAGCTGCGCTGTGACCCATGAGGCCAAGGTCTTGGGAGGGTCTGAGTCTGGAGAGGCCTCCAACCTTCAGACTGCGCTGCTCTGAGCCGCCCAGGAACAAGAACTATCTATCTATCATCTATCTATCTATGTATCATCCATCTATCATCTTCATCATCTATTATCTATCATCTTCATCCATCTATCATCTATCATCTATCTATCTATCATCTATCTATCTATCTATCTATCTATCTATCATCTATCATCTATCTATCTATCATCTATCATCTATCTATCTATCATTTATCTATCTATCTATCTATCTATCATCCATCTATCATCTTCATCATCTATTATCTATCATCTTCATCCATCTATTATCTATCATCTATCTATCTATCATCTATCTATGTATCATCCATCTATCATCTTCATCATCTATTATCTATCATCTTCATCCATCTATCATCTATCATCTATCTATCTATCTATCTATCTATCATCTATCATCTATCTATCTATCATCTATCATCTATCTATCTATCATTTATCTATCTATCTATCTATGTATCATCCATCTATCATCTTCATCATCTATTATCTATCATCTTCATCCATCTATCATCTATCATCTATCTATCTATCATCTATCTATCTATCATCTATCATCTATCTATCTATCATCTATCATCTATCTATCTATCATTTATCTATCTATCTATCTATGTATCATCCATCTATCATCTTCATCATCTATTATCTATCATCTTCATCCATCTATCATCTATCATCTATCTATCTATCATCTATCATCTATCATCTATCATCTATCTATCATCTATCATCTATCTATCTATCATTTATCTATCTATCTATCTATCTATGTATCATCCATCTATCATCTTCATCATCTATTATCTATCATCTTCATCTATCTATCATCTATCATCTATCTATCTATCATCTATCATCTATCTATCTATCATTTATCTATTTATCTATCTATCTATGTATCATCCATCTATCATCTTCATCATCTATTATCTATCATCTTCATCTATCTATCATCTATCTATCTATCTATGTAGTATCCATTTATCATCTTCATCATCTATCTATCTTATCTATCATCTTCATCTATCTATCATCTGTCTATCTATCTATCTATCTATCTATCTATCTATCTATCTATCTATCTATTATCTATCATCTTCATCTATCTATCTATCTATCTATCTATCTATCTATATCATCTTTCATTTTCATCTATCTATCATCTTCATCTATCTATTTATCTATCATCTTCATCATCTGTCTATCTATCTATTATCTATCATCTTCATCTATCTATATCATCTATCATTTTCATCTATCTATCTATCATCTTCATCTATCTATCTAATCTATCATCTTCATCTATCTATCTATTATCTATCATCTTCATCTATCTATCTATTATCTATCTATCATCTTCATCTATCTATCTTCATCTATCTATCTATCTATCTATCTATCATCTTCATCTATTTATCCCTATTCTCTCTCTCTCTCTCTCTCTCTCTCTCTCTCTCTCTCTCTCTCTCTCTCTCTCTCTCTCTCTCTCTCTCTCTCTCTCTCTCTCTCTCTCTCTCTCTCTCTCTCGTCTACCATCATCTGCTCCCTCCTTCTCTGTCTTCCTCCCAATCTCAGTCTCACAGTTGGTGCCCGTTACTGAACTACCCAGCAGGGAGCAAGCCAGGTTAGATTATATTAGAATTACTTTTTAAAAATATATCTTTATTGATGTCAGAGAGGAAGGGAGAGGGAGAGAGAGATAGACACATCCATGATAAGAGAGAATCATTGATCGGCTGCCTCCTTTACGTCCACTAATGGGGATGGAGCCCGCAACCCAAGCATGTGCCCTTGGCTGGAATCAAACCTGGGACCCTTCAGTCCGAAGGCTGATGCTCTGTCCACTGAGCCAAACCAGCTAAGACTAGAATTACTTTAAAAAAAATAGTTTATTGATTTTGTTAAAGAGAGAAAGGGAGAGGGATAGAGAGTTAGAAACATCGATCAGCTGCCTCCTGCACACCCCCTACTGGGGATATGCTCGTAACCAAGGTACATTCCCTTGACGGGAACTGAACCTGGGACCCTTGAGTCCGCAGACTGATGCTCTATCCACTGAGCCAAACCGGCCAGGGCTAGCAAGGAACCTGCTGGAACAGGAGCCCGGGTGGCCGGAGGACAGGGGGGGAGGGGGAACGAGGGTGCAGAGCCAGCCAGACTCACCAGAACTGTTAGCATTCTAAGCCTATGATTCATTTAATAAGTGTTTTCAAGCCGACCGTTGGGACCGGCTCGCGGTGCAGCATTCACGTTAGTCAAACACGCTCCTTCCCACCCCTGTCCCCAGCGCTCGGGGCCCCACCCGCCCGGGGATGGGTGCCTGCGCCCTCCCCTAGACGCATTGTTTCCATGTGAGCACATACGTGTCATTCTTTAGCTTCCTATTTAGAATAGGATGCCGTGTGCTCATGGCTCGGCCCGCCTTGTTTGCTTTCTGATAACGGAGGAGCCTGCGGCTCGGACGTCCCCCCGCGCCTTGGCTGCGGCTCCAAACATTTCTCGAGTGTTTGTGTGCACGGTGTGCCAGCGCCGAGGGCAGGGGCCCGGGCGAGGCCCCGGCCCGCCCGGAGCCCCCGGCCTGGTGGATGGACGGGGACAGGACAGACAGACCGGCAGAGCAGGAACGGAATACTGCACTGTGAGAAGTGCTGTGAGCGGAACAATCCAGGCGGAGGCGGAAAGTAACTGGAGGGCCTGTGCGAGGGGGTGGCCGCCAGAGGAAGCTGCGGGAGCCCAGGCCGAGGTCCGGGCAGAGAGGGGCATGTGCAAAGGCCCTGGGGTCGGGGGTGAGCGGCATCTGGTGAAGCCAGGAAAGCAGGCGCGGAAGCTGGAGCAGAGACAGGGGGAGGTACCGGTGGGTGAGGCGGCAGGAGCCGAGCCAGGGGGAACAGCGCTTCTCGGGCCTTCTGTTCCCAGGACCCCGTCACGCTCTTAGAAGTGACTGAGCACCCAGAGAAGTCTTCACACGCACTGTGTCTGTGCTGACCGCGCGAGAATTCAAAACGACGGAAACCGGTGTGGCTCAGTGGATAGAGCGTCGGCCTGTGGACTGAAGGGTCCCAGGTTCGATTCCCCGGTCAGGGGCATGTGCCTTGGTTGCGGGCACATCCCCAGTTGGGGGTGTGCAAGAGGCAGCTGATGGATGTTTCTCTCTCATCGATGTTTCTAACTCTCTAGCCCTTTCTCTTCCTCTCTGTAAAAAAGTCAATAACATATATTTAAAAAAAAAAAATTCAAAACGGAGACAAGATTTACCACGTGATAGGAACGAGCCAGTAACGAATGGTTACAGAATTATTAAGTGGTCATTTATTAGAAATGTCACCGGCAGGTTTTTGATCATGTTTAATTTATATGAAGAAATATCCATAGTTAATATTATATGACCATTTAAAGTAACAACACACATCAGTCAACCTAGGTAACGTGTTTCATGAAAACTAACTATTTTTGAAACAAAAAAGAGTCAGGAAGGACAGGGTTCCTGTACTACATTTAAAAATATATTTTTATTGACTTCAGAGAGGTAAGGGAGAGGAAAGGAGAGAGAGAAAGAGAGAGAGAGAGAGAGAGAGAGAGAGAGAGAGAGAGAGTTCAATGATGAGAGAGAATCATTGATCCGCTGCCTCCTGCACGCCCCCCACTGGGGACCGAGCCCACTACTCGGGTATGTGCCTTTGACTGGAATCGAACCAGGAACCCTCCAGACCACAGGCTAATGCTCTATCCACTGAGCCACACTGGCCAGAGCACCTGTCCTACATTTCTGCAAAGCTCTTTGCTGTCTGGCTTCCCCTGTCTTATAGCCTTAAAAAAATCTCCATCCACTGGGGAGGAAATGAAAAGTAAAAAAAAAAAAAAAAAAAAAAAAAAAAAAAAAAAAAAAAAGAGTGTCTTATTATTATTATTCAAATACAGTCACACCTCGGCTCTGCGCTCCAGGCCTCCCAGCTGGCTTCTCACCCCAGTGCCCTTTCATGCTGGTGCCTGTGATCAGTCATGTCTCCCAGACACGCGAGAGAACGCACCACGACCAGCCAGGAACTTGTATTGTGAAATTTTTTTTTTTTTTTTTGGCTCTTGTTGCTGCTTATTATTAGATTTTCCCTTTTCACTGTACATTTCCTTTCCGTTCTGTTAAAGGCTCACTCACATTTCATGTCTTTTCCTTTTCGAAGTGTTTATCAGTTAACCAGGACGTTAGACACGCACGGTGGGTAAGAAAGGTTGAGCAGGGACTCATTTGGGGTCTGGGACTAATCCCGTGCACATTGCTTCTAATGGAAAGAGCCACTCGGCTTTCAAACCACCTTCTGGAAGGAATGAGCTTTGAGAGCCGAGGTTCCACTGCACTTTTTTTTTTTTTAAATATATTTTATTGATTTTTTACAGAGAGGAAGGGAGAGGGATAGAAAGCCAGAAACATCGATGAGAAAGTAACATCGATCAGCTGCCTCTTGCACACCCCCTACTGGGGACATGCCCGCAACTCAGGTACATGCCCTTGACTGGAATCGAACCTGGGACCCTGGAGTCTGCAGGCTGACGCTCTATCCATTGAGCCAAACCGGTTTTGGCTCCACTGCACTTTTTTTTTTTTTTTTTTAAATATATTTTACTGATTTTTTACAGAGCGGAAGGGAGAGAGATAGAGAGCTAGAAACGTCGACGAGAGAGAAACATCGACCACCTGCCTCCTGCACACCTCCTACTGGGGATGTGCCTGCAAGCAATGTACATGCCCCTGACCGGAATCGAACCTGGGACCTTTCAGTCCGCAGACCGACGCTCTACCACTGAGCCAAACCGGCTTCGGCTCCACTGCACTTTTGATGGGCTGAACCCCTAAAGGCTCACAAGACCCCCCCGGGGTTCCCCGGACCACACTTTGAGAATTGCTGCTGTAGGCCCTTGTGGGAATTTTGAACTTGGGTGGAAAGCAAATGGAGCCTTTGGAGCAGCATCTTGTGGTCTGGTCTTTTGACCGGAATCGAACCCGGGACCCTTGAGTCTGCAGACTGATGTTTTATCCACTGAGCCAAACCTGTCAGGCAGAGGCATGCGTGCGTCTCCATGGGAAATCGAACCGGCACTAGGGAGGACACCCCTCTCGCAGCCCCCGCCGGCCTGGGCCCCCGCAGGGAGCCGCCAGGGCTCCGGAAGCAGGCTCAGCGGGCCTCTCCCCGCAGGTGCACGCCTACATCATCAGCTACCTGAAGAAGGAGATGCCCTCCGTGTTCGGCAAGGACAACAAGAAGAAGCAGCTCATCCTCAAGCTGCCCGTCATCTTCGCCAAGATCCAGCTGGAGCACCACATCTCTCCGGGCGACTTCCCCGACTGCCAGAAGATGCAGGTGCGCGGCCGCCCGGGGAGGCTGGGGGGGGGGGAGGGGGCCGGCTTCTGTGGGCTCCGGGACGGGGCCGGGAGAACCGGAGGGCTGCGTGGAAGGTTCCGGAAGCACCTCCTGCACACGGGTCTGTGGGAGCGTGGTCTGATGAGGTAGGAAAAGGGACTGAAGAAAAATACCCCCAGTCATTATGGCTTAGTTAGGATAGACGTGTATTTCTCTCCTCCGTAAATAAAAGGATGGTTTAGGGCCGGTTCATGCTTCACAGAGCCCGGGCCCAAGCTCTTTTTTAGTTCCCCTCCAGGCCTGGCCTCCGGGCCCAAGAGTCCCTCTCGGCACAAAAGGGCTGTGGAGACGCCAGCCCTTGCGCCTGCATTCCAGCCAGCAAGGAGGGGAGGGGAGGGAAGGGGAGGGGAGGGGAAGTTAATGGGACAGGCTCTCTCTGTGTAAAACAGTGCTGTCCCCATGTATGTTCTACGATGATGAAAGTGCTTTCTTTCTTTTTAAAAAAATATGTTTTATTGACTTTTTACAGAGAGGAGGGGAGAGGGATAGAGAATTAGACGCATCGATCAGCTGCCTCCTGCACACCTCCTACTGGGGATGTGCCCGCAACCAAGGTACATGCCCTTGACCGGAATCGAACCTGGGACCCTTGAGTCCTCAGGCCGATGCTCTATCCACTGAGCCACACCAGTTAGGGCATGGAAGTGCTTTCTGCTGCCACCTCCAAAATGGCAACCGCTAGCCACATCAGAACTGACCTTTTAGGTTTTATGTAACTCATTTACGTTTAAAGAATCACGTGACTGCTGCACCGAACCGCGTGAGTCTAATGTTGCACTGGTAACTCGTGCTAACCTCCAGCTGGTCAGAACTTGGTCATGGCCTTGGCCAACCGCCAAGGATGCTGGGAAGTGGAGTCTTTCCTCCACGTGGCCAGGAACCGCGTAACATTCAGGGGTTCCAGCGCTGATCTTGGGGGACGAGGGAGCGGCGCCTCACACGCCCAGGCCTGGGGTCAGCTGGTGCTGGGAGAGCCGTGGGTCCGGATGGATGGGGAGGAGTGGGCAGGACAGGAGTGACCCAGTGAACGTGGGGACAGACTGAGTCCAGGTGCAGGCCTGGGGCGAGGAGGGGCCGTGCCCAGGCTGAGCCTGCTCTGAGGGCTGAGATGTCTCCAGCCCCGGGCGGAGGAATCCTGGTGAGGTCCGTTTGCCTCGGCCGCTGACCAGCTCCGTGAACGTGGGCAGGTGGCTTCGTTTCCCGAGCCTCAGTTTCTCCAACTGGAAAATGGGCTCCCTGACTGCAGTGTCTCCCCGTTGCCACAGGCACCTTGAGTTTGGCCTTGGCACTGCTGACATCCGGGGCCAGAGAACGGTCCCAGGACAATAAAATATATTTTATTGATTTTATTGCTGTAACAATATTAGCAGCTGCTGTTTAGCCCAGGCTCTACTCACCAGTAGTAGCCACACTCCCTCCCTTCCCCCCTCCCCCGGCTGTGACAGTCAAAAATATCTCCAGAGCTTGCCAACTGTGAAGTGCTGGGCTAAACAGCAGCTGCTAATATTGTTACAGTATTTTTAAAATATATTTTATTTATTTTTTTATTTTTACAGAGAGGAAAGGAGATAGTTAGAAACATCGACCAGCTGCCTCCTGCACACCTCCTACTGGGGATGTGCCCGCAACCAAGGTCCATGCCCTTGACTGGAATCAAACCTGGGACCCTTCAGTCGGAAGGCGGAACGCTCTATCCACTGAGCCACACCGATTAGGGCTACAGTATTTTTTACTTCACTCCTCACCCGAGGATATGTTTATTGATGTGAGATAGAGAGAGAGAGAACGTTGATGTCAGGAACATCGGTCGGCTACCTCCCGGACGCGCCCCGACCAGGGATCGAACCACAATCCTTTTTGGTGCATGGACGACGTTCCAACAGAGCCACCGGCTGGCGCTGCAGCTGTTAATATGACGCTGACATTTTTATCCAGACGGATTAATTTAGCCTTTTTTGCCCCGCCCCCACCAAGGAGGGCAGTGCTTGTTATTCCCGTTTTACAAAGGTGGAAACTGAGGCTCAGAGAGGCACATCCCTTGCCCGAGGACACACAGCCTCCAGGCGGCAGTGCTGGGTGGGTGCCCTGCAGCCTGGTCTTGAAGTCCTGCTGTCCCCCTCCCCCATCCCCCGCTTCACAATCACACCCCCATCTCTTTTTTGGGGAAAAAAATATTTTTATTGATTTCAGAGGGAGAAGGAGAGAGAGAAACATCAATGAGGAGAATCACTGATTGGCTGCCTCCTGCACGGCCCACACTGGTGATCAAGCCTGCAGGCCAGGCATGTGCCCTCGGATGAGGAGTGAAATAAAAAAGTACTGTAGCCCTAATTGGTTTGGCTCAGTGGATAGAGCGTCAGCCTTCAGACTGAAGGGTCCCAGGTTCGATTCCAGTCAAGGGCATGGACCTTGGTTGCGGGCACATCCCCAGTAGGGGGTGTGCAGGAGGCAGCTGATGGATGTTTCTAACTATCTCCCTCCTTTCCTCTCTGTAAAAAAAAATCAATAAAATATATTTTAAAAATACTGTAACAATATTAGCAGCTGCTGTTTAGCCCAGCACTTCACCGTTGGTAAGCTCTCGAGAATCGAACCTTGACCTCCTGGTTCATAGGTTGCTGCTCAACCACTGAGCCACACAGGCCAGGCCCACCCCCATCTCTTCATGGTCGCTATCAGTGGGTCTCCGCGCCTCGGCTTTGGGCGTTCCTGGGCTGCCGCTGTCAGGGGTCAGTGTGTGTCTGACGCTGTGTCAGCGGCTTGGAGCTGCCTGAGGGAGGAGGGCGGCCTCAAACCCAGGCCGCAGCTGCTCCAGCCAAAGACGACTTCTCGGGGTTGGGAGTCCCCACGGTCTCGTAAAGGTCCCAAAGCGAACTCCCACGCTGGCAGCCAGCCCTTAGCCCTTCAGTATTGAGGTGACAGAGCGGCAGGAATTGCATTTTTAAAAAAATATATATTTTATTGATTTTTGTACAGAGAGGAAGGGAGAGAGATAGAGAGTTAGAAACATCGATGAGAGAGAGTCATCGATCAGCTGCCTCTTGCACACCCCCTACTGGGGATATGCCCGCAACCAAGGTACATGCCCTTGACCGGAATCGAACCCGGGACCTTTCAGTCCCCACGCCGACGCTCTATCCATTGAGCCAAACCGGTCTTGGCGAGGAATTGCATTTTTAAAAAATATATTTCTTTATTGATTTCAGAGAGGAAGAGAGGAGAGAGATAAAAACATCAATGATAAGAGAGAACCACTGATTGGCTGCCACCTTCCAACCCCCCGACCCACATCACTGGGGATTGAGCCGAGATCCAGGCATGTGCCCTTGGCCGGAATCGAATCTGGACCCTTCAGTCTGCTGGCCGACGCTCTATCCACTGAGCCAAGCCGGCTGGGGCAGGAATTGCATTCTTTAACTTGCATCATGGCGGGGTGCTGGCGGGGCAGCTGGGGTGCCAAGGGGGCGAGCAGGGCCGAGAGCCGACTCTTGAGTGCCCTGGAGCTGCTGTCAAGAAGATGTTGAAATCTTCCTCCGCCAGCCCAGCAGCCAGGCTGCTGCCTGAGTCACGGAGGTCCTCTGAGCCCCCTACTGTCCAGTGATCCCGGGGCCGCCCTGCACCGGGTTCAGCCTCCGGGACCCTGTTCCCGGCCCCTTCCGTGTGGTAGGTACCGGGCGAATAGATACCCACACACGTCTGCACGCTGGGCCAGGAGCTGCTGCCCGGGCTGCTCAGGCGCCCCTGTGGTGGCACCAAGGGGCTGGGGACCATGAGATGGTGCCCCGACTTCCGGTGCCCCTGACTTCCAGCATCCCTGACTTCCGGCGCCCCTGACTTCAGCATTCCGGCGCCCCTGACTTCCGGTGCCCCTGACTTCCGGCGCCCCTGACTTAGGGCGCCCCCGATTTCCAGTGCCCCTAACTTCCAGCGCCCCTGACTTCCGGTGCTCCTGACTTCCAGTGCCCCTGACTTCCGGCGCCCCAGCCTTCTGGCGCCCCTGACTTCCGGCGCCCCTGACTTCCGGCGCCCCTGACTTCCGGTTCCTTCCTCTCCCCCACAGGAGCTGCTGATGGCTCACGACTTCACCAAGTTCCACTCCCTGAAGCCGAAGCTGCTGGAGACGCTGGACGAGCTGCTGACGCACGACATCGCCAAGCTGATGCCGCTGCTGCGGCAGGAGGAGCTGGAGAGCACGGAGGTGGGCGTGCAGGGCGGCGCCTTCGAGGGCACCCACATGGGCCCGTTCGTGGAGCGCGGGCCCGACGAGGCGCTGGAGGACGGCGAGGAGGGCTCGGACGACGAGGCCGAGTGGGTGGTGACCAAGGACAAGTCCAAGTACGACGAGATCTTCTACAACCTGGCGCCGGCCGACGGCAAGCTGAGCGGCTCCAAGGCCAAGACCTGGATGGTGGGCACCAAGCTCCCCAACTCGGTGCTCGGCCGCATCTGGAAGCTGAGCGACGTCGACCGGGACGGCATGCTGGACGACGAGGAGTTCGCCCTGGCCAGCCACCTCATCGAGGCCAAGCTCGAGGGCCACGGGCTGCCCGCCAACCTGCCCCGGCGCCTCGTGCCGCCCTCCAAGCGGCGCCACAAGGGCTCCGCCGAGTGAGGTCCGCCCTCCGCCGGCCCCGCCGAGGCCCCCCGGCTGCACGCACGCCCCTGCCCTGGCCACATGCACCCCGCCTGCCGCCTTCCCAGCCGAAAGGATGGGGGTCCCTCCACCCCCCACCGCCAGACAGAGGGGACCAGGGGAGGGGGGAGACGTCTCTGCCCGCCCTTCGCACCTCCACCCGCACGTACACTGAGGCACGCCGCACCCACACTAACACACAGGCATCCACCCAGGCGTCATTCTTGCAAGTATTTATTGAGCACCTACTACTTTCTGGGTTTGGGGCTCGTTCCAGGCACTGGGGATCCCGGCAGAGAGCAGAAGAGAGAGATCGGTGCCCTCCTGGAGCTGACATTCTCGGGAGGGAGCACTGCCTGTCCCTCATACACACACACACACACACACACACACACACACACACACACACAGCCCAGACCAGGCCCACCTCGCCCCTTAAAAGAGCAGCCGCTTGGTTGAAATGACTAAATGACAGGCCTCCCTCTTGCCCATCCAGGCAAGGACCCCTGCCCCAGCCCCCCGCCCTCAGGCCTTAGGACCACTGGGGACTCCCAGGGGCGACACAACCTCCTACTTCCTCACATGGACCCCCTTAGCCCCTCCCTGAACTCCTCACACCCTACTTTAGTGCATGTATGTCCTCCCCACCTGCCCTAGGTTGAAAACCCAGCCTGGCCCCTTCCCCAGCCTCCCCCCCTCCCACCCCCAAGCTGGTGGCCCAAACTTGAGCCCCTGGGGCCCAGCCGCGCTGCCCACCGTCAGGTCATATTGAAGTGGCGCCCCCACCACACAGGAAAGACCCCAGGGCTTGAGTCCCCTTTTCAGGGATGTCTTGGGGGGACAGGCTCTTGGTGCTACAGCCCCCCCCCCCCACTTCCCTGGAGGGACCTCACACACCCCCTTTCCTGCCATCGCCCCGTATTAGTGCTTAACGCTGGTGGGGACCCCATGGAAAAGGCGGGGGAGATAAAAATAGTTGGGGTGATGCCCCCTCCGGGGTGCTGGCTGGGATTCCCACGCTCACCCCCACCCCCACCCCCAGGGGCCTGGGATGGGATCGGCGGCCCCACAGCAATAAAGCCAAGGCTTCTCTCCAGAGTCCAGCTGTCTTGGGACGGGGAATCGGGGGTCGTCCTGCTCCCGACCCCGGGGGCCAGGTGGGGAGGGCGGGCAGGGCTGGCCAGGGGTCCCCCTCCCAGCTCTCCGGGGCGAGGGTGGAGGCCGTGACTCAACGCTGCGGAGCGTGATGACTCATCTGGGCTGGGGGCCAGAGCGACATATTTTCCAAAGAAAAGTTACTCCGGGGCCCTCCCTGCGGGACACCCCTCCCTCCGCCGCCCGCCGCGGGGGCCTGGGAACCGGGCCCTGGGCGCGGGGAGGTGACGGGCACAGCCTGCCCCGCCCGCCCGCACCCAGCCGCCGGGGACACGCGGGCTCCTGGGGGGCCGGGGAGGGGGGCGGTGCCCCCGCCGGGCCCCCGTGTGCGCGCTCCCGCCCGGGGACTCGGCCCGCGCTGGGCGGCGGACACACGCCCAAGGCCACACCCACGGCGCCGGGACGCGGCTCCCCGGCGCCCCCTGGCGGCCACTCGGAGCGGGGCGGGGGTCGCGGGCCCAGTCCCCACGCTGGGGTGGCGGGTGGGCGCCCGCGTTCCCAGGCCCCCGGCTCCTCCCCTCCCGGCGCCTCTGCCGCCTTTCCGAGCCGCCTTCCCGAGGCCCCGGGCCCGCGGGATGGGCGCCAGCGCCCGCGCTTCCTTCCTTATTTGTAAACAGTGAAGACTTAGCGGGAGTCCAAGACGAAGCGCACACCGATTTTTAAACAATTTGTCCTGCGTCCCGGGGCGTTTTAAAAAAGTCCCGAAAAAAAAAAAAATCGGGACTTTTTAAAAACGCCCCGGGACGCGGGACAAATCGTGAAAGATCGGGACGTCTAGTCACCTTAGTTTAGAGGCACGATCGCAAGCGCTGCGCAGGAATGTATGACCTCGTTTATTCTTCAGGGTGGACCGTCAGCGCCCCCATTTTGCAGGCGGGGAAACCGAGGCAGAGCCGCGCGGAGGACGCCCCCAGGGCGTGCGCCTGCGCAGCGCGAACAGCGTATTCCTGACACGCCCCGGCGCATGCGCATTCCTAGGCTTCAGCCTCCGCGTTCCGGGGCTCCTGGGTTTCCAGGGTTCCAGGGTTGGGACGCGGTGGAGCGGCCAGGCGTTCCCAGGTTGGAACGTGCCTTGCTCGCTCCGAGCTTGCCAGTAATGGTTCCGACTTCCCTTTGCTAAGAAGACTATTTAATAAAAATAATCATACTCAGATGTAAAAATATTCCCGGGCGTCTAGGAATGATGTTTGGCTGGGGCGAGAGCCCAGTGCCTAAAACCCGCGGTGGACTGGAATTCGGAGAAAAGGGAGGAGCCGTTTACCCTTTCTCAAGATGGCTGCCTCCCTGCCCCTCGGCTCCGCCCATTCCCTTTACCAAGATGGCGGCCGCCAATAGGCGCCTCCCCCGGAAGTGGGCGGGAGATCTGCGCGCGCACGCCCCACACCGGATTTCCGGTGCCGGCAGCTGGCATCTTCCTTTAACAAGATGGCGGCGGGGAGCAGCGGCGGTGGCGGCAAGCTCCGCTCGAAAAGCGAGGCCGGAACCGGCTTCCTGGGGCTGCGGCCCACGTCGGTGGACCCAGCGCTGAGGCGGCGGCGGCGCGGCCCGAGAAATAAGAAGCGGGGCTGGCGGCGGCTCGCGGAGGAGCCGCTGGGGCTGGAAGTCGATCAATTCCTAGAGGACGTGCGGCTGCAGGAGCGCACGAGCGGGTGCGTGGGGCGGGACTTCCGGCTGGTGGGCCCCGTTCTGTATGGTTCGGGGTATCCGAGCGTGCGGGGGGGGGGACTTTCGGAGGGACTTCCGGGGCGTCGGGGGCGTCTGTGGTGGGCACCCTGGGTGGGCAGCTTAGGGGCTTGGTCTGGTTACCAGGTACGGGACACCCAGTTAGGTTAGAATCTAGGGACACCTATTCTGTAATTTTCTGGAGTTTCTATGACCCATGCACCCAGCCTGGCGTAGTGGACTTTAAGTATTGCGTCCTGTAAACGGCAGGGGAAGCCTTAGCCTGAAGGGGTCCCACCCCAACAAGACGATGCTTGAATGAGCATAAGCGGAAGCTGGGCTCTCCCCGCGATGCGAAACCTACTCCTTCCGCAGCACCTTGCTCCCTCCCGGACATCTGGGGCTGACATTCTTTATTTTTATTATTGTGGCTGACATTCTGTGTTTCCATCTCCCAGTGGCTTGGTTTCGGAGGCCCCCGATGATAAACTCTTCTTCGTGGATACTGGCCCCAAGGACAGAGGTGAGGAAGGGCTTTGTGGCGTGGCTAGGCAATGATTGGTGTTGTCAAGCTCACCTCAGCCTCTGAGAGTCTGCGCGGATGACACGACTTGGATGGCAGACACTTCCTAAGGGAAGAGGGGCTTCGCTGTAAACCGGAGGGTTTGGAGTGGGCTGTCGCACCTCTTAACAGGAGGCCATGATGGAACCAAAAAGACTTATTCCCGGCACCTGGGTGCGGGGGCGCTGAGCCCGAGAAAGGCATCGGCGAAGAGAGCGGGGAGAGAGGTTTTTATTACTCCTTGCTGGCTGCGGGCCACTCTGCTGATGTCAGGGTCCGGTCCATCCTTGGTTCCTCCCATGCCGGGTGCCTTCTGGTTACCTGAGCTGTGCTGTGCCCAGGGCTGCAAGCTTTCTGCAAGACGTTTGCCGCGCACGATAAGTCTTTCTCTGCCCCGTTTTGTTCTCTTTAACCCTTTCATAAACAAGAGGGCCTGGGATGAGCAGAAAGCAGGCCAGCCCCTGACTTACAGGAGTCGGGTTTCCTTGTTGAGGTATTGGATCTCGGGGCGCAGAAAAGCCAGCAGGGGGTCTGTCTCGATGAGGAGATCAGACGTAAAATAGCGAGGCTCGTCAGTTTGCCGAAAAGCAGGCCAAGGACCTGCAGTAAGGGAATCAGACCAGTTTTAGTTAATAAAACGTGCTTTAATAAGTAGAGGGTCCACTCGAAGGAGTAGGCGAGAAACTGGTCTCAACCCGCTGGTTAGAACTTGCTGGAGTGCAGGGCCGGGAGGTGCTGAGACTGGGAGTGAGGCACCTGGAACCAATGGGGAGCAGGCGCCTGCTGTAACGGGGGACAGAGCAGGCGAAGGGTCTGCTTCCTGGGAACACTGGCAGCCGTGGGAGCACGTGGCGAGCGGCGTTAGCAGCAGGACACCCTTCCCGGCCGTGGAGGTCAGTCAAGGGACCGTTCTCATCAAAGCGAGCGGACCCAGGTCCGGCAGGGAGGGGCCGGCAGGCAGAGGAGACCTTCAGCGAGGGCAGGTGGCTGCTGACGAGGTGGTTTCACAAGAGGGCCCTGGGCCCGGGCAGGGCAGTCAGGACCTGCCCCGGGGCCGTGAGGAAGCGGGGAAGGCTGTGCCCGGGGGCAGGAGGAGCAGGAGGGGCGTGTGTAGGTTCTGCTTTAGGTGAAAAGGGGGGCAGAGGCGGCAGTGGCTGCGAGCTCACAGGCTGTCACGCCTGACACCCACACCCCCCTACGAGGTGGGTATTAACTCTCATCTGGGAGCAGAGGAGCAAGGTCATTTTCTCTTAGTCCCGCGGTGACTGGGAGGGAGTGGGTTTTGTCCTGGAGCTCTTCTCACTGAGGTTTTATTATTTATTTATTTTTATTTTATTTTTTAAATATATTTTATTGATTTTGTACAGAGAGGAAGAGAGAGGGATAGAGAGTTAGAAACATCAATGAGAGAGAGTCATCGATCAGCTGCCTCCTGCATACCCCCTACTGGGGATATGCCCGCAACTAAGGTACATGCCCTTGACCGGAATCGAACCCGGGACCCTTCAGTCCCTAAGCCGACGCTCTATCCACTGAGCCAAACCGGTTTCGGCTCACTGAGGTTTTAGAAGTAAGAGGCAGTTGTGCTGAGAATCGGCCT